CCATCTGTGTTAACTGCATCAAAAAATGCCACCAAGGACATGACGTAGAGTTTATACGGCACGATCGGTGAGGCAAATTGTAGTGTAAATGTTCATCGTCAGTAAGTGAGAGATAAGTGGGTTCTCACAAGTTCGTTCTTTTGCCAACAGGTTTTTTTGCGACTGTGGTGCAGGAACATTGTCAAACCCGTGCACGCTGGCCGGGGAGCCCACACACGATACAGACACTCTGTACGATTCAGCACCACCCATAGAGTCCAACACGCTGCAACATAACTGAAAGGCATCTGCTCAAATCTCACCGTCTCCCATGAAGCAAACAAAACACATGACATCGTTCAACCAGACACACACAAACACTTCAGCCAACAGTCATCAACATGAACCCATCCACTGGCAGCCATTAGAAACTCTGAGAGACTCAAAAGACTGCGGAGCTCTCAGACAGGCTTTTGGTGAACAGAGGCTGCAGAGGAAGCGACTTCCTGCATGCTGCACTCTCATCTCCAATAGAGGGAGCAGTAGTGCTGTGGGTCGAGTGACCGAACGGCCACAAGAGATTCCTCCGTGGAGTATTTTATGATCAGTGGGCAGAGATGAGAGGTGTACGACACTGAGCTCAGCCCTGATTGTTCTTCAACGACTGCTGTCAATGACACTTCCTGCTTCCTCACATCTGTCACCCGCATTGCCTGAACCATTGGTTGTAACTAAGCAACAGATGGATGTTACTCTGTTGTGTGTGGATAAAGGAAAAAAAGGTGTGCGTGCGTGTGTGATGGAGCACTTGGGCTATGTTTTTGTTTGTTTTTGTTTTTTTAATGTTTTGATCAATTGATTTTATTTCAATGCTTTCTCATGTAGTTTTGTATTTTCAAGCAAAAGCAGACTGTATTTGAATGTCCTTTATTTTATTATATATTATTATAATTATAATTATTTTCTTTGGTTAGCACCCCTCACCCCCACCCCAACACCCAGGCAGACTGCAGAAACTCAAGGTCCCAGTGGAAAAGTTCTTTCTGTGAAAGAGAATCTCGTTTAAACACTAAAAACCCTCTCCACTACAAGAGCTCGAACGGCAGGTGGAGGAACTCCACACTTGTATAAAGGTGTGTCTGTGTGTACGCGTGTGTGTAAAATTATGTTGTGTACAGTGAATGTTTGAGTTTTTGTTTATAAGTTGAAACAGTCAGTGTTTTTTTTTATTTTGGGAGAGGGTTCCAATAGGAGGCGCTAAAGCTCCTATTTAACTGGAACTTGTGAGTCAATCTGCAGTCCCCCTTCGACCCTCCCCCTCCTCCCGCCTCCTTCCCTCCGTCCTCTGTGTATCGTGGTGACTGTGGCTCCTCATGCAGCCTGAATCGTATGCATGTACCATAACATCTAGACTTAATATATTGTGAAGTATTCAATAACCATTATGTAGATGCTAGTTGGAATTTAAAAAAGGGGTATACTTTCTTAGAAGGACAAAAAAAGAAAACAGGAAACTGGCCATTTCTAAGAAAATAAAACTTTATTAGATCAACTTTGGTTTCTATTTCGTACTTCCAAACCGAAGAGTTTTACAGGGCTTGCAGCGGGACAAGAGATGGTGTTTTTTTCTGAGTTAAAATTGTGGTTTATTTGAATGATGAAATGAAGTGCTTTGGTCCCTGCGTATTGACTGGTATTCAGGTACTTGCACAGATTCCCTATGGCAGTAGATTACATATTTTACATGAAAAATTACAGGTTCTCCAGTGTATCACCAATTGAATGTGATGTGGTGAGGTAAAAATGATCCTCTGGATCCTGATCAGTTTGCTGAATTGCATTTTTAGGATTACTTATTTTGTCCATACATGTTTTATGCAACACTGTTCATTTGTCCACTGGTAATCAACACTTAATATTCTAACCAGCAGAAACACATTAAGATGAACTACTTATGTAAAGCAACAGAAAATAACTAACTTAATCAAGGTTAGACATAAACACCAGGGCAACTTTATGACAGGTGCAGACGACTTAACTGTAAAGTAAGAGCAGAAAAAGCTCTGCAACAAGTTCCAATACCAACAGTCTGAAACGGGGTGGGCCTTAGTTCGCTCAATTCTGGTCTGGAGCATGTAAAAACCAATGCCCATGGGCCAAATTTCACCCCACAGCAAAGCTGTCGACAAAACAATGCCTATATTAAAGCTGTGACAGTGAAAAACATCCACATGTTAATGTTTATTGAACAACTGCACAGCACATAAGTCATTTACAGAGAAAGGGATCAGGCTGATTTCACAGGAAGACAGCGTGCCAGGATCTCTGCTACGTACGAGTTGTTTTTGGAAACCAGCTCCTCCTTCATTCTCCTTAGCTCCTCCTTCACCTCCTCCTCAGACATGCTGGCAGCTGGAACCGACTTGGCCTTTTCCAGGAAGTCCTGGATCAGGTTTTCTCCCACCTAAATGGAGACAGAGGAGAAATTAATTTCACAACTTTTAAGCCACAAACATGCGTTCAGTTGTGTGAACCATCTAACATGCAATTCTTTAGCTGACTGAATGGTAGTTTAGAGCAGTGGTCCCCAACCCCCGGGGGTACTTGGTAAATATCATATAATAGATAGTAGGTAATGGTGGGTGCCTAACACCACTTGGTGGTCCAACAGGGCCTTCAGAATCCTATGAAAACATTTGACTGCTTTTTAATAGTATTTTAACACCAAGGTTTTTGTGAATTTAAAAAAATACGGTCACTTGGCTGATAATCTGATCTACACTGACAGCTGACAACATCACCCGTGAGTGGAACTAATTCTTCCTTATAATCCATATTTTTCCCCTCAAACAAATTAACAAACAGTGAAACTACAATGCATTTCGCAGTCATGCTTCCTAATTTCTTGTGCCGTCAACAGCAGGATCTGCTGCAGCAGCCATACATACAGCCAAACAAATTACTTGTTTGTCTGTGAGCCGTCTTTTGGCCACAGGCTTTTCATCCTCCGAAGACACCACCGCCGTGGGCTCCTGAAACTCCTCCAGTTCTTCCGCCTTCTCTTTCGCAACAGCAACCACCCAGGGAGGGAAATTTGCCATTTCGGCAACGTGGATACCAAAACTCTGATCACACACACCTAAAACACACAAGTGCCGAGTGAGTTTGGACAACTTTTCTTCATAATACTCAGGCACAATAGTCATATGTGCATTAAAAAATGACTAAATGATAAACTGTGTAACATCAGTTTGATGGAACAAATAAGTTTGTTCCAACACGTCTTTACAAAGCTCTGATCCAGCCCTGAACCTAACACAGTTGGGGCACATGACAGAAAACCTGTTACGGTCATGTACCGTGGACTTAGTTAACATCTGACCACCATGAGATCAGGCCTGAAGAACTGGGCTGACTTCACACAGAACTCATGAGAACAGTCACAACAATCACAGTATTAAACAAAAGATCAGTTGCTGATCACAGATCACAGTTGCTGACAAACACATAGAACAGCTGCTGACCTAAAAAACACACAGTGGATAAAAGAGACATCTCTGAAGATAAGATAGATCTGCTAAATCAGGTATGGGCAAACTAAGGCCCAGGGGCTGGATGTGGCCCATTCAGCTTTTTAATCCAGCCCACCAAACTTTTTCAAATTATATAATTTATTTATATTATCATTACACCCACATATCCCAAATTGATGGTGTAGAAAATGCTAAAACCATTTTAGCCTTTATGCATGACTTTTACTTGTCATTTATCTAAGTTCACACAAATGCTCCATCTATCTGCTGAACATGGAGGGTTTGGACAAACAACATTGTTTTTTTTTACTTATATAAACAACCCTTTAAATGTCTTTACTGACCTGCTCTGACTCTGTACAGCATGGTGAGTGTGTCATGGGATGTCAGGGCTGTCACGTGAAGGTTGTGGACACTGGATTGTTGTGCAGCAAGTGCCGTCAACTCATGGAAGTGCGTGGCAAACATACAGAAGCTGCTGATCTTGGATGCTATGTGTTCACTAATGGCCCAGGCCAGTCCAAAGCCATCGTAGGTGGACGTGCCCCTGCCCAGCTCATCGATTATGACCAGCGATTTCTCTGTGGCTGAGCTGAAGGGAGAACACTAATGACAATGATGAAAGCAGCCTTGAATTGCTACAACTCTGTCTAGGAGTCCGTTCCTACCGTAGAATGGCAGCAATTTCCAACATCTCAGCCATGAAGGTGGACACCCCCTTCAACTGGCTGTCTCCAGCCCCCACTCTGGCCAGGATGCTGTCGAACACACTTAGCTCTGCCTTTTCACATGGTACAAAACAGCCGATCTGAGCCATCAGAGCGACCACACCCACCTGGCGGATGAAAGTCGACTTACCACCCATATTTGGACCTGTGGGCAAAAAGAAAGATGAAACCATGACCTTAGAAATGGGGGCTGCAGTAACAGTTAGAAAACCAACATAACAATCACATTCTGCATGTTGTTTGCGTGTTCTCACGCACATGAGAACTGGTTTTGTAGAAAACACAAGGATTTACAAGCGGTGCATTAAGCCCACAGGGCCACAGGCCTGACTGATCATCTTCAAGTCCGTTCAACTACTAAACTAATTCTGTCGTCTAAACTGACCACGACCCACACACGTCTTTACTGATTAGTTTTTCATTAAATACCAGGTGTCAGACAAATCCGGTGATCTGACACACATGTAAGTAGCTTCAGTGACTGCTCTTCACATAACAAAAACAAAATACTGTATGGAATTTTATTGCCACCTTTGCCCCCACCACCAGAAATTTGTTGCTTTCAGGTTGTGCATGATTCTCACGAGTCACACTATTTCCATTCAGGAAATCCGTCATGTCAATTTTTGTCTCCAGAATAATTGCTCTCCTGAACTGCTGAACGGCTTTTCTTTTACTCTGGACATATCCAGCCTTGAGTTTCATACCTACCAGCTGACAAAGTTAAGTGGAAACAGTGTTTGCACTCCCTTCTTCTTCTACTTGGTATTAGTATAATGACATAATATAGAAAATGACCTACAGTAATTATTCTGAATAATTGGTACTGGTATTTAGATTACCAGTAGACACAGTGAAGCAGGGAAAAACATCAGTGCCACCAGTTCTTTAAGAACTTGGGTTTTCAATTATGTTTATATGCTGGATGACTCTAAATGTCTGGATATTCATTGACTTTAACAATATGTTTTTTTATACTTGTCTTGAGTTTCATCTCATGCCTCAGACTGGTCTTGACAGTCATCTGTTTATACCTGTAATGATGTAGAAGTTCTTCTTTCCCTGGACAAAGCTGATGTCGTTGGGTATGAAGCTGGTATCTGGATCGTTCTCCATGCAGGGATGCCTGGCCTGCAGCAGCTCTAAGCGGCGGCTGCCATCATCTAGGATCTGAGGTCGAACATATGGAACGGGAGCCGAGACAGATGCCACGGCAAAACTGGCCACTGCGTCCAGTTGTGCTATCACATCGCTCAGCGTCTGCAGGGGGTCCACGTAACCTGGTGACCACAGTTAACCCAAACAATTAACATGGGTCTTAAATGCAAGCATGTGATTTTTTTTTCTTTAAAAAACTTAGAGGAACCTTCGGCCCACAGAGTTGGTGAAAAAATGCAATGACACGGTATTATTATCAATAGAGGAGCTGTACTTTGGTACAGACCCCAGATCAAATGGATCACAGTTGGGTTTTCTGTTACGGAAATCAATGTCACACATTTAAGACAGACAGAGCGGACATTTAATGAGATTCTTCACCTGAGGCGATGTTGATTATCTCTTTCACGATTGCATTCTGGGCCTCCTCATACTCCTCCCTGCTCTTGGTGTACTCCTCATTCAGAGAGCTCAGTTTGCTGCAGACATGCCAGATTGGGAGATGGCTGACAATCAGCTGATGACAAGGAGGAGTGAAGTCTCTGTCTAAGTCACATGAATTACACGAAGACACGCAGACCTGTTTGTGAATCGCACACCATTCTTCTGGACGTCCAGCATGGTAAATTTCTTGTTGTTCCTCAGGCCCTTCTCCGCTTTGCAGGTGACCCTCAGATAAAAACCCAGCATGGCGTTCGACTCCAGCTTCACCGTCTTACCAGCCTCCAAACCTTTAAGAGACACAGGTACAGTGATGAGCTTAGGATGAAATAGATAAACAAAAAAAGAAAAGAAAACATGTCACTTGGCCATCCTTTTATGTTTAATATCCTTCCTGGTACCATCATGACTTACTACTTTACTACCTCTCCCCTGTTTGGCATAGTGATACTCACAAAATTAAATCTTTTATTCAAGTCTTTTGATTGAGACCCAGTTTCCTTAAACTGAACTTGTTTCTGTATTTAAAAAAAGGAGTACAACACAATGTTTTCACGTGTTGGGCTGAGCAGCTTGGCTCCAACAAATCACCAGTTTTAGTCCTGTGACCTACTTTGGGTCAGAATCACACACTGTATATAGCAAACTGAGCCACCTTAGACTAACTCCAGAAAAAGATAGGAACAACCTCTGGTTTAAAATCAAGGGTCAAAAGAGAGATATTAAAGTTTCAAAATGGGTTTGTTTTCAATTGTCATCAATTTGTTTTTTGTATTTCTTCATAGTAAAAAAATTAAAGTCATTTTAAAATCAAATATTTCTACTCATCTATGCGTATGTTTTTTCATAACTGCATCTGCGGTATACGTGTGTTACAATGTGAGACCCCCTGCCATAGTCTGATGTGCATATCAAATTACTTCCAAAACAAGTGGGCTGCCTCACAATTCCTGAACTGTCTGGACTCGTCATTAAAAGAATCAATGCCACAGCCTTTTCTAGTGTTTACGTCACATGAGACTACTTCCTTTCATTTCCTGGGATCTTTGTCAGAAAACAGTCCAAAGAAATGAGGCGACTTATCTAAATGCACCTAATGTGATCAGCTGTGGTCATGTGTCAAATTCATGAGGACCATTCTCCCAACAAACAGTGTCAGAAAATGTATTTGGTGAGACAAAAACACAGTGGAGTGTGTTTCACCTCTTATCCAAGAGGCTTCTTCAGTTCTAACTGGTGGTGGGAAGTACAGCAAATTTATATTCTGGATGTGACAAAGAATAAAGCTACTTCAGCTCCCCCCTGTTGGGTGGGCCGTTGGAGTCGACTGGGACAGTGTAAACAGTTGTTGGGAGTCTGATGGGTCGTTGTGATCTTTATCGGAATGGTTTTGGTCACGTGTCTCTTTGTTGTGTGAAACTGAGGTGAATCTTTTGGGTATTGTTCCTAAGAGAGCCTTGTATGTGGGTGATAGGTTGTCTTAGTCCAACCTATCATTAAGTCAAAGACAGTTTGTTTGCATAGTCACCGAGTTCTCTGGCTGCACTGCTCAACACAGCCTGCATGCTCTCATCCAATTCGTCCATCTTCTCTCTCAGTTCAGTTAACACTGCGTCAAATGACGCCTTCACCAGGAACTCGTGGTGGTCAACCTGTACAAAGCACACAAGCAGAGGAACTGTTTATAGAGAATGTGAAATTTACGGACTAAATTGATGATTTTGTGAAGGTGAACCTGGTTCATATCCAGAGTGGTTTCAATCATCTCCTGATACTTGGTGAAATCATTCTGCAGGTCTCTGAGGGGAGAAACGAACACGGCTTCCAACAGGACCTGGAAGTTGCCTGCAATGAAAAGAAAAACGTGAATCAGAAATTAACAGTGAAATATAGAGTACAGTACAGTAGAGTACACACTGTAAAACCACTGAGTATTATCTGTACATTAAACAAGAAACAGAGAAAAACACAAAAAGCAAAGAAACAGTATGATTTCATTCTTATTTTGTTAATAGCAGGTTTGTCAGCAGGTTTGTGTTTACCTGAGTATCTCTCTAAAGCTGTGATCAGTGCAGGGATCTGGTTTACGGCCTGGTAGACACGGTAGCAGTCCTGTAGTGTGGCACTGTGACGGTGGAACTTCTTTGCCAAGCGGTGAAGGTCTGGAAACCGCCGCAGCAGATCCTCCTGACATGTGTGTCTGAGTTCAGAGTCACATACAAAGCTCTCCACCAGGTCCAGCCTGTGTTCACATGTGAAGACAACAAATGCATCAATTGGTTGGTGTATTCTTTTTCTAAACTGTATTATAGATTGAGGGTTTTTTTTTTACCTCTCTTCAATCTTGGTTTTGTCCATGAGAGGTTGCTTGATCCACTGGTTGACCAGCCGCTGACCCTGGGGCGTGCGGCACTTGTTCAATAGACCAGCTAAAGAATGTGCTCTGCTGGCATCGTCGGGTGAAGCCTGGAGGATAACAACGTCTATAGTCATTGGTTGACAGACGTCTGAGGAAACATGTAACCCCAAATAAAACTACCGACAGCCTGGTGAATAAAGGCAAAGTGTCAGGAAGTGATGGATTCACTGTCGACTGACCTGGAAAAGGTTAAGAGCCCTCACTGCGGCATTATCCAGTCTCATGAACTGACCCAGGTCTAGTGTGGTCAGACTAAAGGAATTAAAGTTTGACTCGTCAGAGAGCAGCTCAAGGAAACGAACCACTGCAGCCAGGCATGACATGGCCACCTGTGTAAAAGAACAACATTTGAACAAAGTAAGTGCAGCTTACAAAGAGAAAATTGGCCAGGGATTAAAACAGACATGAAATAGAGTATTAGTAGTAGTAGTAATAGTAGTAGTAGTAGTAGTACACACAAGCAGTGTTTTATTTTCTCTTTTTCACCTGTTTGTCCAGCTCTGGCAGTGAGTTGCTGGCTGCTGCCTCTCCTCTCTTGGCTCTAAGCAGCCTGTTCAGATCCTGCACTATATCCTTGCTGCTAAAATCTGCTCTCTTTCTGTCAGAGACCAGCATGCCACCACGTTCTACCACCTACACACAAACAGGATCATTAACTGTCGAGCCCTTAGATTTGTAATTAACTGAACTGAAGATAACATTTCAGACATTTTTTATTTAGTCAACAAGGCAGACTAATTTAAATCAAAGCACATTCAGTCATTAGTTGACCATCAAAGTGGAAGTTCATGAACTTGAAGGCTAATATGTCATTAATTATTGGAGTATTCATTACAGTATTCTGATGACTCCTCCATACCTGTCGTAGTTTACTATCAGCGCTTCCTTCACCTTGGGTTAACAAACATTCTTTGGGGCCAAGTTGAACGAGCAGAGACTCCAGGTTGGAGAATATCTCATTGTCGGGAAACTCACACACTCCCATATTTCTTTGAGCTGCATCCACATATCCTACGCCGACAACACGCTGTCCATCGGCTGCTGAAGCACAGCGAACAGCTACAACTCCTGCGCAGCCCTCTGCTCCAGCTCCTCCACCAAACAGGATCTCCTCAAACTGGATCAGGTTTCCTGGAGAGGCCTGGGTGACAGAACCAGAGAACAATCTGTTAGCTCTGTTGTCAGACTGACAGAAAAGTTTGGTCAAAACTGCAGTTGACACAAACATGTGACTCTTCACCTTGTATTCAATCCTCCAGTCATGCTCTTTGCTGTTTTTGCTGTGGTTCCTGTAGAGCTCTACTCTATACTGTCGAACCAGCAGCAAGTCTTTGACAAAGGCGTCAAAGTTCAGCTTGCTCAAAACAACACTTTCCAGCTTGCGACTCCCTGTTGAACAACACAATTAAATAACAAAAAAAAAACACGTGTTAAAAAAAATTCACTAGTTTCAGGTCTTCTTCAACAGCATAGTGTTTTTGTTTTGTTTTTTTTAATTAGAGATTCAGTGTTAGTGATATGCTAATAGTAAACAGCGCACATTGGTAGTTTCTATATACATATATATCATTTCAGATCTTTTTGTCTGTTGACAAGGCTAATAGCAGATGGGAAAAATAGTGTTTGAAATCTTATAGAAGGCATTCTTGTGGAAATTATGTTATTGTCTTAGAATAAGTCCAGTTTAATTAATTATATTACCTAGCTCCTAGAACCGCTGCTATAAACGTTCTTGTATCTGAGATTAAGCACTTTTCTGCGGACATCAAATTAAAATAGTTTGCATATTATTAAAGTCATGTGACGCACTGTGCATGTTTATGAATATGCAAAAATGACAAATCGTTGCGCTGTATTGTGAGTATCTCAGGTGCGGTATTCTGTATTGCATTTATTTCGGCTTGTTGTTTCTGTAATTTCTGCAAGCGTCAGTTAGCTCCAGAACGCTAACAAACCTGATCCCAAATACTTGATGACGCCGTTGGTCTTGAAAACTTCCTTCGCCGCGAATATGGCGTCTTTGCCGTGAACGGTGTAGTAGTCGTTGCGGTCGAAAATTCTGAAAGTGGTGTCTGGTTTATCCGGCATGGAGAAAATAAAGTTTAAAAACCCACTTTCAACTGCACTGTCCATGGACAGATTCTGTTTCGGCTGCACCGCCATGCTGGAATCTCCCGCCACCGCCGTGGCAAAGAGGAAGTTACGTCATCGTGTTTCTGCCGTATGTTGACATTAATGTTGTCGTGAAAATACAGTGGCGTTTGTTTTGGTGGAATGTTGCACTTTCAGCTATGTATTATTTAGCTAAACAACTAAACAGTAAGATTAACTCATAATAAGAGATAGGGTGCGAAACGTATCCACACATGCCCACCTCAGTGTCCTCGATCAGTTACCCTTTCAAAAAGATGTATCTTGAACTCATTTCTTGAACCTATTTTTTTCTATTTCTTTTTTTATTTAATGGCAATTTTAATCTCTTCACCATCTCTGAACTTCAAGGCTGATCAGAATGACATTAAAAAAAACAAGTGACCTTTTAAATAATTAAATATCACAAATTGTTTCGTGTCCAGGGCATTAAGCTGACTAGATATGTGTCATGTGGTTTTAAAGTGTTACAGTAGATTGTCTTGTCAAAGGAGGTATGTGTGAAATTATTGCAAAATAGTTCTGGTTTAACATCTCTTCATAGTAATCACAATGTGTGCCACATATGTATCTTCTTTATTGTGGACATTTTCTCACTTTCTTTTAGATTGTTTGCTTCTTAAACAGTCCCAACTAGCGGAAGCTGATGATGCACAAAATAACTAATGACGTTAATGTTGTAGCTTTATTTGCTTCAAAATGCTTGGCAACATCGCAACTACTCAGCCACAGAGAATTATCTGTCACATGGGCACTCTTGCAGTTTAAATCATTATCAACTAAAAAGAAGAATTTATTGATTGGTTGATTTACCTAGAGGAAGAATAGTTTGTACTGTTGCACAACAAGGAGATCACTGGTTCAATCGCTGGTGGTGGGGTTTTAATGTTGGGACTCTGCCGATTGAGAATTAGATTAACTGTCCACTACTAATTTAGTATCAAGGTGGAAGCATGTCTCATCTCTCTATAGGGCCCTGTAGGAAACCGGCGAACCTCCAGGGTGTACCAGTTCCTTGCTAAATGACTATTGGAATATACCACAGTTATCATTAGGTTTGAGGAACGTGTTACTTAATTCTCAGTCGAGAATGAGTCAAGCTGTGTTTGTATTTACATATTACAAATAGAAAGAGTATTTTGTCATTTTGAGACATTGTTGTCTATATAAACCCCTTTTTTCATTTTAGAATAATTCAGATTTTAATCTTGTATTTTCGAAATCCAGTTCAATTTTAATTATTGTATTTTAACTTATGTGTCTTAAAGTATTTTAACTTTAAGACACAAAGGCTAGAGATTCGTGAAATGTGTCTTCATAGAAAGAGGACTGCTTTGTTCAAGACATGAAGACATAAGAGACGCATAGTCAATGGTATCAGCTCAGGTCCATGTCTAATATAGTTGTTCAGGAGATCACACTTTCTTCATCATCTGTCTGCGCTGAGGCTCCATCGTATGAGGAATGACTGGGGGTTCATTTTCAGAAAGCTGCACAAAAACATATGATTCGATTTACAATTTTATGTTTTCACCTCAGCCAACATAAGTGTTTTAACAAATGACCAAATGGATCTAATATCTCAGTAAACAGCTGCCTTCTGTCACTGTGTCAGTGATAAATCACATGTGACTGTGGACTGTCTGTTGTGGATAAAGTAGTCATGAGTGATTTTTATGTAATCAAAGAAAGGTCTCATGGGTAATTTCTGAGAAACTCAGTGTTCCTGTGAACCTTTTTTACCCAACTCAGCTGGATAAATGAAGCATGCTTTAACTTTGTTATAGAATTCATGATAAATTCAAATATGTTGAAATACAAAGTTATTTGATGCATTAGTAGTTTCTTCCTAAAAGGATGTGCAGATCAGGGACCTGGTGCAGCAGATGCTCAAATACAGATACTACAAATGCAGATACTAAACGCATTAAAGACATGAGGGTGTACGTCAAGCTCCAGCTTAGGACAAAAACATTTGCTGCCCCCTGTCCCTACCACCAGCTCCTCTTATACAACATTTTTAAACATGCCATCTTATTGCCAGCATATTATAATTTTGAAAGAGCTGTTATGTCACTGGAAAATAGGTCACACTAGGGTAAAACCTACAGCAAATTATCAAATGATAATTTTCTTTAAGATACTACAGTACAATCCAATAAATACGTGGGTAGATAGATTGAAGTGACCTATATATTGAGTGTTTACATGTTCTACAGTACAAACCAATTATCTTCACCAATTACATGTAATCTGTTAGTCTAACTTGGAAAGGAGATTGTAATATCAATGTGACAATTTATTCTGTGGCGCTTTGGCACCTCTGTCATTGCTGTGAAACCCCAGGGTTCACCTCCTGGGCAAGATCGAATCCCGGTTAGGGTGGTTGGTACCTTCCAGTGGACTCACCACCCACAGGAAAGTTCAGGGAGGTTGGTACAGTGCAGTGTGATTTGAGTCGTGGTTGTGGAGACTGCTGCCCCCGCGACCCTGTAACGGATAAGTGGATGAAAATGGATGGATGGATGGATAATTTATTCTCCTAGTAAAGAAAAAAAGAGCCCATTGTTAAAAGTGGACATAGTAAAAGGAATATCATTCGTCCATTTCCATATAAGAGTTTCTTAAAAGACTCGACAGAAACCTTGAGCGTCACACAGTTGCCAACTCACACCTCCTCCCCCATCATGATGCTCTGTATCATCTGGAGCTCATTGATGGACATGGTCATGGTCTGTGACTTCTCTGACGGCAATTCGACAGTCGGGAATCTTTCTACAAAGAAAAACAGATAATGATCCTGTCTTCGTGATAAAATAAGTTTTAGCCACGTGAAGTCACGGGTGTGCAGGTCTTTGTGAGATAATAGGGTTATCACTATAACTAATGAGTCGATGATGACCAACGGGAGGCAGAAAGAATTGTTTGCATGGTGTGACCTCGGCATGGCTGTTGGATGTTGAGTCTCGTGCGATTGACACAAATGACTGAGACCGGCTGTTTTGACGTATGCGGTAGCTTTACTAATGTGGGAGCAGAGCGCACGAGGTTATCGGTGTAGGCTTTATAAACACAGAGAGGAGACAGAGGGCATAGGTGTCAACTCAGACCTACTGCAACAGAGTCTCAGCCTCTTCTCTGCCAGAAAACCCTCCGTCGTCAACACGCAATCCAAGATGAACGGCCACTGCAACGAGTCCGTGGAGAGACCAAGCTCCGTCGTGGTCTACAGCAAACACGAGACGTCCCGCAAAGAAGCCGAAGACAAGACCCACTTACCTGCGCTGGAAGCCGCGTACACCAACATTCTCCGGGAACTGGGAGAGGACACAGCCCGTCAAGGGCTGCTGAAGACCCCTAAAAGAGCCGCCAAGGCCATGCAGTTCTTGACCAAGGGCTACCATGAGACCGTGGAAGGTCAGTCTGTCTTTCTGTTACTCTGTACTTGTAGAACTCTAACTGTTACTTAGAGACGTGTAACCCTAGTAGTAAGATTCTACTGCAACAATTTACTACTACAACATTTACAACTACATTTACAACCACATTTACAACTATATACTATATGTTTTGTCACTGAACTAATACTACTACAAGTACGACTATTTCTTCTACTAATTTTGTACTCAGATATCAATCTTATATTAGTACTATCTTTACTAGTCCTGCTGATACTAACGTTATTACTGCTACTATTCCTACTAAAATCTTACTACCACCATAAATACAACTACAAAGTTTATTTATAACAAAATACTACAAAATATATTTTAAATATTTTAAGTACTGGTAATACTACTGAAATACTTCTACAATTTAAACTGTCTCTTCTATTACCACTGCTACTACTACTGATGTTAACAATGATCATGGGGCTGCATGGTGGGAGAGTGGTTAGTGATCTTGCCTTACAGCAAATAAAACACTGGTCGATTCAACTACTACTTAAAATAATACTTTTAATAATAGAAAATAGTAAATAAGTCGATGAGAAAAAAATGTCATTGTACTGGAATATAGTAATTACTGATAACAAAATGCAATGCAAATCACACTGTGGCATGGTTTAGATGGACATTCTTTGTATATTATAATTGTATTATTATTAACAACACATAATATTTTAGGCTGATTGTTTTACGTTTTCAGTTACTGATTACTGATCTGTTCCTCAAGACCATCTGTTATTCTAAAGGTCTATCTAAATATATGTGTGTATGTCTGTGTCTTTGTGCTGTAGACATCTTAAACAATGCCATATTTGATGAGGACCATGAAGAGATGGTGATTGTGAAGGACATTGACATGTTTTCACTGTGTGAACATCATCTGGTGCCCTTCTTTGGAAAGGTAAGTGTGTATCTGTGTATCTAGGACTTTTTCAAAAATCTTGCATATCCCCTGGAGTGCCTCAAGTGTCTCCATTGTATATGTACCCCGCTGGATGTGATGCTTAAAGATACAAGGTCCTTAAGAGATATTTTCGTGTTTATTGGGTTTTTTTGGGAGTGATCGGGTTGCAATTGATAAAGGACAGATCGACAAAATGAATGACAACCTCATTGTGTCAAATTGTTTGTTTTCAATTAGCCTTTGACATAAGGTTAAAAAAGTTTGTGTTGCTAGACTGCAGTGTGAATTGTTCCAAGCAGAGTAAATAAAACAGTGCTTTTTTTTCTTTAGGTCAGCATTGGGTATATACCAAACAAAAAAGTGGTGGGACTGAGCGAGAGGGCAAGGTAACACACACACACAACAGAGAGAGAGAGAGAGAGAGACAGCCGTCTCTTTCTCTGCTATCTCAAACAATAGCAATTACACATAACATTAGCCAAGTTGCCACTACGCACTATTGAGTGGTAATGACAAGGGTTCAGAGATATCCCACATGTCATAGATCAAAGTATCTGTACAATTGGATGGCTTGCATAGACGTTGGGGGTCAGGAGCTGATGTCAGTATCTATCAAGAAAGAAGAAATCAGTAAGAACGTAGTCCATTGTCTAATTTGTCTTGTCTTTTTTCTTTTATTTCGTATCTCCCCAGGATAGTGGAGATTTTCAGTCGACGGCTTCAGGGTGAGATTTAAATGCATTCCTTTTGACTCAAAAATCTTTACACAGATATTTTTAAAAATCTGCCATACTATCGCTAACACTAAAGCCAATTTTTGTCTTCTTCAGTTCAAGAGCGACTCACTAAGCAGATTGCCACAGCAGTATTTGAGGCTCTGCAGCCGAAAGGTGTAGCTGTTGTCATTGAGGCAGCGTAAGTACACACACGTACACACACAGGACACATGTTGGTGTCAGCACAGTTCCATTGCTTTTAAACTGGCAGCTCATGTGCCACATTAAATGTAAGCCATGACCCATTTATTTACATGTTACAGTACAACCTGTGGTCTACACCGACAGCTGCGTAAATAATAAGCAGCAAGGCTGATTACTTCACCTTGTAAAATATGAAGCAGCAGATGGTTAAAATTGTATTCATCTCACTCTTTTGCATGTTGTTTTTTTGTAATTCAGCTGTATGTTTCTGTGAATTCACAGGCACATGTGCATGGTCATGCGTGGTGTCCAGAAGATGAACAGCCGCACAGTAACAAGCACCATGATGGGAACGTACCTGGAGGACCACAGGACCAGAGAGGAGTTCCTGCAACTTATACAGCACAACTAAGCACTGTGCCGAACGACAGCTGCTCTGCCCATATACATTACTGTATATGTATAAATATATATATATATATATATTTAACAATAGAAAGCTACATTGAGTGCAGTACATGTTTACTGTTATTGTAAACCACAACATAATCTTTGCTTGAATAAAATGATTTTTTTAAACTGCAAGTGTCAGAGTGTAGCTTCTGTTTTAAGCAAAAAAACAATGACTTTTTTCTGGAGTGTAGTAGAAACTGTAATTTAGTTAAACAAAAAAATAGGACACCCAAAAAATACCAAAGTTCAAAATTGAATTGTATAAATAATAATGACTTCTGTACTCTCTTCTGTACTTCTGTAATTCACAATTTGAAGAGAGCTTCAAAGACTTTCTGCAGAATTTAAGTGTGTTTTGTGTCAGCCAGACAGTAACTAACAGTTACTGGCCATTACTTTCAATGCTTTTGTAAAAATTAAAAACAGGCCACATTACACCAATATGACCAACATTTATATAGAGCAGTTCAGACTTGTAAATAATATTCCTGACAAACCAGGTTTTTACATTAGATGCTTTATTTGAATTTTAAACCATTTACAAACAACATATTACAGAAGAAGTCAACATTTTCAAAAGCAAAAAAATCTGATATGTACAAAATACTAGAGGTCTCAGCTCTAAGAACTAATGAGTGATGGTGGTTTGAAAAACAACATTACCCTGTTTCAGTTTCTCTAAGGTCAATATATAACATTCTACACCAGCTGTATGCAAACACCAGTGGAGTTGGATTAGGGATAAATAAAGTCACAGATGACCAAAAAGAATGGTAAATTACACAATGCACAGAGAAACTAACAGCTGTGTCTCTTCCTTGTGGAATGTCCAATTCACATGTCAGCCACTTTGATTCCTTGAACCCTCTCACACAGAAGTCTGTTTGTAGTTCTTGGTGTCCAACACTTTCTTTCCGCAC